CCATAGTCAATATAGTTTTAGGTCCCACCACTCACCTGAATACTTTATTATTACAAAACACTGAAAACAGAGAAGGAATAGGGAATAGAAAACTGGACCTAACCATTGATATTAAAAGTTATGTTGAATAAAAACTATCACCCCTTATATGTATCCTATAAATACCATATCCTTCTGACTCACTTAATATATTACTTAATTTACCTAAGACTTTTCAGAAACTTCTATCACTTAAAGAACAAACTCATCTTTTTAAAAATGGGAAAGATTATTTACTAAATTAGAACACTAAAGGAAACACAATTTAATAGAGCAACTGTATATATTTGGTTTTTGACTGTTCATTTAAAATAAAATATTAAATATTAAACATCAAATGAGTATTAAAAAGGATTATAGATTTTTAATAGAATATTTCAGTAACTATCTCCAACATGGTTAGATAAAGAAGAGGAATGGGATATGAAAACTGCTATGTAGCTAGCTACAGAACCTTCCACAAAGATTAGTTTCCAAGACACTTATATGTATGCTTAAAAAATAAAATTAACAGATTTCAAAAGTATGCATTCAAAACATGCAAAAACTTGTAGCACAGCAAAAGGAATAGTATGCTTTTGGAATGTTCTTGTGTAATCTTTGCACGTGAACAAAATTTGAATGTTCATTCCAAAAACACCATACTGTAATTATTTTCTTATTTGTCTTCCCCATCAAACTAGGAATTTCACAGAATGGATGTATTGCTTGTTTTTGATTCGGGAATCCAATATACAGTAGGTACTCAGTAGCAGTAATAACCATCACGAGATAATCATGAGAGAAAGCATTTATTTCATTCTTACAACAACCCTTTGAGATATTAGCAACTGGATCCATTTTACAGCTAAGGATACTGAGGCTTAGGAAAGTTAAGTAACTTGACCAGGGTAACAAAGCCAGTCAAGTACAAAGCCTGGACTCAAAACCAGCACTATGTTCAAACTCTATGCTCTTGACCACTGTAATATGCTGTTTACTGGAAAACTAAGTTAATATAAGGTACCGTACAGCAAGCGATTTCATTGAAACCCTATAACAAGAACAGATATGTTAGCTTTATAATGTCACATAATAATTATGGTCTTTCTATTCTACCTATCAAGCCTTTGCCATCATCTACTATAAGTCCCAAGTTATAGAAAAATTCACATAGTGACAAGTGAATGAAAAAACACTGCTCAATATTGCAGACAGAAAGATCTGGAGACAACACACTGGAATATTCCAAACACCAATTCATCAACTCTTTCAGAAGAAAAACAATCTTAAGAGTCTCCTGAGAATTATTCTGTTGAGCCTAAGAGATCTCACTTGATTTTTTATTTCTTTATAAAAGGAATACAAGGACTACCCAAAGAAATGTAAATAAATCAAAACTCTGTAACTTCAAATAAGATAGAGAGGGAGTTGTTACATAACAAAAGGAATAACTATCTCAAAGGAAAGCTGAAACGAAGCCCCTTTTTAAAATAATGTCACGTGTGGAAAAAGTAACACAAATTTATGTTCAGGGGAACTTAAAGCAAAATCTTTTTATGGGCCAAAGCTTTAATTTTTAAGAAATTAATTTGACAAAGAAATGGCTTCCCTGCCTTAATTATAATATACAAACATGAACTTTTCTTGGTCAAAGAGCAATAATTCATAAGATGACTTCTCATCCCAGACCTGCCATTTACAAACTGCAAGTTCAGCTTCATTAACTATAAAACACATATTAGGGGCTGGCCTGGCCTGGCCCATGGCCTAGTGGTTAAAGTTCCATATGCTCCGCTTTGGCAGCCCAGGTTCTCGGGTTCAGATCCTGGGCATGGACCTACACCACTTGTCAGCCATGCTGTGGCGGTGACCCACATACAAAAAAAAAAATAGAGGAAGACTGGCACAGATGTTAGCTCAGGGCCAATCTTCCTCAAGCAAAAAAAAGAGGAAGATGGGCAGCAGATGTTAGCTGCGGACAAATCTTCCTTAGCAAGAACAAAAAAACAGGGGCCAGCCCGGTGGCGCAGGTGGTTAAGTGCGCACACTCCGCTGTGGTGGCCTGGGGTTCACTGGCTAGGATCCCGGGCGCGTGCCGATGCACCACTTGGCAAGCCATGCTGTGGCGGCGTCCCATATAAAGTAGAGGAAGATGGGCACGGATGTTAGCCCAGGGCCAATCTTCCTCAGCAAAAAGAAGAGGATTGGCAGATGTTAGCTCAGGGCTGATCTTCCTCACAAAAACAAACAAACAAACAAAAAACACATATTAACAGTCTACATCTCCCTCATAGGATTGTTGTTGTGTAAAGGTATGTGAAAATGCTTTATAAATAGTAAAATATTTTTAAATAAAAAACATTGTGACTGGTATTGTTTTAGAGTCTACTCTGCCTATTCTAAGATACTACACTCCAAAAAGCTCACCACCCCTTTTACACTGCATTCTTTTAATTTCATATGGATAGGAAAACAAAACGATTAAACTTGTTAAAATCCTATCTAAAATGAGATATATTATTCCTTGTGTCCATAAGTTTTGAGAAAAGACTGGGCCCTCTATCATTTGGACTGCACCAAAGTCTTTTTTTGCTTGCTTCTGGATTTTCCAATATGTTTTGAACAGTTCAGTTGGCAGGAGTTAACTGCCAGGTAAAATAAGTATTACTAGAGTAAGATTCTAAGGTATGTTTAAAGCATATTTTAAATCACATAAAAGTTTTTTTTTTTGAATCTTTGGGGAAAAAATGGCCTATATTACTAACCCCCAACTGTTTTAATCTATTGACTATACGATACATATTTGCCCTTCTGAAATGTGAAGTATGATTTTTATCTTTATACTTCAAAGGAAATAAAAGCAAATCTCAAAAAAATATATTCCCATTGAGATTTACTAAAGAAATCCTGAAGCATCATAAAAGCAGAGTTTGTAATGACCTAGAAAATGTGCGAGTCAGATCTACTAAACTGAGAAATGAATAACCATCAATTCAGCTTAGTACTTGTCCCAGCTGCTGGAAGAAAAGCTTTGCTTGCACATGGAGGGATTGTATTTCTAACTAATAATCATCCTTAGGACAAAATAAGTGGTAGTATTTACCTTCACTTACAAATAAGTATATGAGAAGTTTAGATGATGAGTCCAAAGGTCTTAAAGTCAAAAGTTGCTACATAGATAGAAGACAAGATTCAATCCCAAGTACTTTCCAACAATCAAAAAACAGTTTGATGTTACCACATTTTGTCCCTTTTTTACCTATATCCTGGCTTTACTTCACTGAGTTTCACCTAAAAAAAAAATAGTACCTACCGAATATGGTTGCTTGGAGGATTAAATGATAAAAAACACAACCTGGCACATAGTACCTCAGGGTGGCTATTATTACTGTTCTACAGACATACATCAACGGAAACTCCAAGCTTCAAAGCTTCAACCTTTAAAGTCTCTGCTTAAAAAGTAACATCGTTTGTCAGTACCAGAATTTACCAGGAAGTGGCACTGCCTTTAGTTAATATCTAATTTATGACTGACTGTCAGAATATAAATCATTTTAATAAATATAAACATCTACAATAAACTACAAATAAGTTAATGTATAATAAAGAAGTGTCGAGTTTCAATTCGGAAGTTTGAATTCTGGAAGTTTCAATTAATTTTTTCCTTAATAAAAAAATACACTAAATTTTTTAAATTACACATGAAAATCATTTTGGATTCACTATGTCCTATATACTCGGCTAACAAACACTTCCTTAAAATTTCAAAATTTTTGTCTAACAATTTTTTTCCCCAAAACATACGGGTCCTTTTAATCTGCTCAAAACTCTTGTAGGCAATAAGAAATGAAACTAACACACATGAAAGCCCGAGTGTCAGGAACCGTTCTGGGCCCTACGGCACTGTTCATGTTTTATTCACCTTTGTATAGGTGACTACTTTAACAAAGAATCTGAGATAGTGTCAAACCAGTAACACTGCTGAAATAAATTAGTCAACAAAACAAGGCAGATGATTTGGCTACTTCAAGTGAATGTTCTTACATTACTGCTCAGATATGAAACAAACCTCAATTATCATAGCCTTTAAAATTACTTTGTTTTCTGTTTGCAAGGGAAAAGGAGGTTCGTTTTCGTATACAGTTCCTGCAACTCCAAAAGTTAAAAATAAATTAGTATTCAAAATAAATTTCACGTATACTAAATCATAACTTATTAGAAATAAATTATTAGAAAACGCCTAGCTTCTTAACTTTTTCCTCTCAATTTTTATCTATGAATACAGTGGCTCAAGAAAAAGAAATATTCACAAGCCACTGATCATTCTAACATCGGTATTGTTAATTTTATCATACGACTAAAAAAAAATTCAGAAACATCGATTCAAACAAAATAATGTGTATAATGCTACCTAAGAACTCAATCTAGTAACGCATGATCATGGATCCAGTACTTTGGAATCGAGTCCTCTCGCCAATCCGAGGATTTGAGAAGACAAAACGCAGGATGAGGCATCAATGGGTGTAAACCGAGGGGAGGGAAGAAAAAGGAAAAGATCAGAGAGGATTAATTATTGCATTATTTGTGGAAGGAGAGAAGGTTGCTTGGGCCGATGGGGCGAGAATCTCTTGCAAGGGGAGTGGAAAGGGTTCATTTTGCAGTTAGAAAGGATGGAGGAGGGGGAGGAGGGGCAACTATCAACAGGAATCTTCCCGGGGTGGAGGGGGTGCGTCACTTACGTAGCCGCTTCTAGAAAGAGAAAATTTGCCTTCGGGATAACCTCAATATTAGCAATTGTAAAGGCAGGGGGAGTGACCTTCCTAGGTGTGACGGAGGAAATAGGGGATCACTTCCCCAAGGACTGAGGGAGAAGACGTTCTCGTGGGTCCTCCTCGCTCATCCGGGAGTAGAGGGATCGTGAGAGCCCCCAAGGCCGCGTCGGGGTTGGCAGAGACCCAGGGCTGAGGTGTGGGCGTTACCTGCAGGGTCACCTCCTGAGGGTCCCAGTGCGGCCGCAGGTGTTGCAGGAGGCTTAGGGCCCCCTCCCGGCAGCGCTGCTCCTCCTGATCCTGAACCGTGACGTCCAGCTTGGGGACCTCCGGGGAGCCGGGCGGGACGTGGATGTAATTGGCCATGGCCCACGCGACGGCAGAGACTATCACAACGACGACGGCGACGGCGACCACGAGAACGGCGGGCGCCGACAGGCTGGTGGATCCTTCCGTCCCGGGGCGCCCTCGCGGGAGGGCAGGGGGCGTTCAGACTGACAGGCGAGCGGTAGGAGAACGGCTGGAGGGGCACTCTCGCCGACCCAGGTCTGCACAGCAGCTGAACCGAGCCCGGGCTCCTCACGGGGAAAATTCCTCTCGTCTGCGCTCGACCGCCGGCGGCCGCGAAGCATGCCGGGACTGGCCTGACGCTGACGTCACCCGCGGGGCGGGGCCTCCGCCTACGTCAGGAGCCCAGGCGGACTTGCTAGCCCGCGACACAATGGGGCGGTGGGCTGGAGCTCGTTCCTGGGCTGTCCTCAGACGCTGCAGGGCGTGCTGCCAGTCTGAAAATCGCGGGGCTCCTCCGCCGGAGTGAGCCCAATCCCTGCCAAAACGGGAAAGGCATTGAAGCTTTAGCTCACCTGATCAGGCGGGTCTTGGGGTCTGAGTTACAGTTAGGGCTGAGTTTTTCTGAGAAGCGAGGGACACGTCCTGAGATAACCCCGGGATCAGCCTCTGAACTTGGCCTGAGCCTGGGCAACCAGGATTAACTGGGTCGCCTTGATCTCAGAGCTGCTGTGTACTGGGGACTACATAGTTGGGTTGGCAACTAAATTCTCCTTAGCAGTGTTGCGAGATCCTCATCTTTGGGACAGTTAAGATATTTGGGTAAAACTACGACAGCACTTCAGGATTTCTTTTTAAGGTCAGATGTTTGACCATATTGAGCATTATTCAGAGCCTGGAAAAATAGGTTATAGACTGGGATGAAGATGAAAAGGAAGGAAAGGAAAATAGTTTTGAGGCTCAGCGCTAGAAGGGCTAGACGGCTGTTTCACAGTATCCGTGAGTGGGCCTTAAAATAGCTAGCTTCAAACTTTTAGTCTTAAGGGTTTATGGCAGCTATTTCCCCTCTTAAGGGAATACTGGAAACTGGGTAATCCACAAATAATTTATTGGGACCTCTTAATTTTCCTTATGATTGAGGAAAATGGGTTGAGATTTGACCTCTTAATCTCTGTCTTCCCTGCAGCACTTAGTTTAGTACGTGATGAATATAGTTTGTTAGTGGTAAATTAAATCACTAACTGGATTCAGCTTAACATTCAAAATATTTAATTACCTCATTAGCATCAGTTTACATTCTGATTGTCAGGAAGAACCTAGTTACCTTTCTAAATCACTAAATAGCTTGCTATCAATAAACCTAAACTAAAAAAGGGAAAAGAAATACAGTTCTATAATATAGCAAGGAAGTTGATCCAACATTTTCCAGACTTAGGCATATTTTTTTGTTAAATCATGTACTACTAGAAACACTAGGTCATGTGTTCTAATTTGGGGAGAAATAATCATTGTACTAATACTTTGACATTTCAGATAAGTATCTCTTATTTTTGTATAATTTGTATTTTATTAAACAGTTGACATTTTAAGAATTTTAAAGCTGTTTTGAATTGTAAAATGATGTAATAGCAAATATTAAGAAATTATTTCAGGAAGTGCACAAGTTTGTAATTTTAAAGAAGCATCCATTAACAATTAGAAAAACGAAAAAAACACAGATAGCTAAGAAAGAAACTAATGAAAGATAAGACCTTTATGGATGCGATTATATTTAATGGAAAAATGAACCATATTCATAAATAAGATACTTATTATAAAGATTTCAGTTTTCACAGAAGTAATCAATAAGTATAATGCAATTATAATTAAAATCTCATCAGAGTTTTCCATAGAACTTGTTAAAATGATGTTAAAATTCATACAAAAACTTAAGGTCCAAGAAAAGCTGGTATAATTTTTTGTGGGGCAGGGAGGGTTGGAAAACAAGTTGGGAGAACTCATCCTACCTGGATTTATTATATAATGGTTTAAGAATAGGCAAATAGACTAGTAGAACATAATAAAGATTCCAGAAAAAGCCCTACACGTGTATGAGAACTTTGCATATGATAAAAGTGGCGTTAAAAATTAGTGAGGAAAGGGGCCTGCCCAGTGGCGTGGTGGTTGGGTTCACGTGCTCTGCTTTGGCGACCCGGGGTGCCGAGTTCAGGTCCTGGGCACAGACTTGCACAGCGCTTATCAAGCCATGCTGTGGCAGGCGTCCCACATATAGGGTAGAGGAAGGTGGGGATGGATGTTAGCTCAGGGCTAATCTTCCTCACACACACACACACACAAAATTACTGAGGAAAGGATGGGCTAGTCAAATGGTACTGGAACAATTGCTATTTGTATGGGAAAATTTTTTGATCCCACCTCATCATATATAAAAATTAATTCTAGAAGATTAAAAACCTAAATGTTACAAGTAAAACTTTAAAAATATATAAGAAATATCAGTTCTTATCAACTAGATATATGATTCAATGCAACTCCAATCCAAATCTCAGCAAGTTATTCTGTGGATGTCCACAAACTGATTCTAAAGTTTATATAGAGAAGCGAAAGACCCAGAATAGCCAACAATACTGAAGAAGAACAAAGTCAGTAGAAAGACACTACCTAACTTCAAGGTTTACTGTAAAGCTACAGTAATCAGGGCCAGCCCTAGTGGCCTAGTGGTTAAGTTCCACATGCTCCGCTTAGGTGGCCCGAGTTGGGTTCCCAGGCGCCGACCTGCACCTCTCATCTGTCACTGGCCATGCTGTGGTGGCGGCTCATGCACAAAAAGAAGAAGATTGGCAGTGGATGTTAGCTTAGGGCAAATCTTCCTAAGCAAAAAAAAAAAAAAAGCTACAGTAATCAAGACAGTGCAGTATTGGCAAAAGATTAGACAAATAAATCAAAGAAGCAGAATAGAGAGTCCAGAAATAGATTCACACAGATATAGTTAACTGATCTTTGAAAAAGGAACAAAGGCATTTCAATGGAGAAAGGATAATCTTTTCAATAAATGATACTGAAACAACTGGACATCGACATATAAAAAAACATGAATTACCATGATAAAAAAAAAGTTAAAAAAACATGAATCTAGATACAGACCTTATACTTTTCACAAAAGTTAATTCAAAACAGATCATAGGGGCCGGCCCCGTGGCTTAGCAGTTAAGTGCTGGAGCTCTGCTACTGGCAGCCCGGGTTCAGATCCCAAGCGCACACCAACACATCGCTTGTCCGGCCATGCTGAGGCCACATCCCACATACAGCAACTAGAAGGATGTGCAACTATGACATACAACTATCCACTGGGACTTTGGGGGAATAAAGGAGGAGGACTGGCAATAGATGTTAGCTCAGAGCCGGTCTTCCTCAGCAAAAAGAGGAGGATTAGCATGGATGTTAGCTAAGGGCTGATCTTCCTCACAAAAAAAAAAAAAATGGATCGTAAACCCAGCCATAAAACAAAACTATAAAATTCTTAAGCGAAAACATAGAAAATCTAGGTAGCCTTGGATTTAGCAATGACTTTTTAGGTATAACACCAAAAGCACAGTCCATGAAAGAAAAATTGATGAGTTGGACTTCATTAAAATTAAATACTTCTGGGGCCGGCCTGGTGGCGTAGTGGTTAAGTTCTTGCGCTCCGCTTTGGTGGCCCAGGGTTCATAGGTTCGGATCCTGGGCAAGCTGTGGCAGGCATCTCACATATAAAGTAGAGGAAGATGGGACAGATGTTAGCCCAGGGCCAGTCTTCGTCAGCAAAAAGAGGAGGATTGGCAACAGATGTTAGCTCAGGGCTAATCTTCCTCACACACACAAAATTACACAATCTAAAAATATTTTTTAAAAAATAAATAAATAAATAAAACTTCATGAAGTTAGATGACAAGCCATAAAAAGAGAAAAAATAACTGTGTTTTGTATGTCCAGAAAAAGATTAGTATTAATCATTAAGGAAATGCAAATGAAAAGTGCACTAAGATATCACCTTGCACCCATTAGAATGGCTGTAATCACCAAGACAAAAAATAACAAATGTTGGACAGGCTGTGGAGAAGCGGCAACCCTCATACACTGCTGGTGGGAATGCAAACTGGTGCAGCCACTATGGAAAACAGTATGGAGATTTCTCAAAAAATTAAAAATAGAAATACCATATGACCCAGCCATATGGCCCTTACTGGGTATTTATCCACAGAACTTGAAATCAACAGTTCAAAGAGACTTATGCCCCCCTATGTTCATTGCAGCATTATTCACTATAGCCAAGAAGTGGAAGCAATCTAAGTGCCCATCGACTGACGACTGGATAAAGAAGATGTGGTATATATGTGTGTGTATATATATATATATATACACACACATATATACATACACAATGGAATATGACTCAGCCATAAAAAAAGACAAAATTGTACCATTCGCAACAACATGGATGGACCTTGAGGGTATTATGTTAAGCAAAATAAGCCAGACAGAGAAAGACAAACACCGTATGATTTCACTCATATGTGGAAGATAAACTAACACAGGGACAGAGAGAGCAGTTTGGTGGTTACCAAGGGGAAGGGGGTTGGGGTTGGGCACAAGGAGTGAAGCATCGCATTTATACGGTGACTGACAAATAATAATGTACAACTGAAATTTCACAATGTTATAAACTATTATGACCTCGATTAAATAAATAAAGGATTAGTATTCAGAATACCACTAATCAATACAAAAATTAAACCACCCAATAGAAAAGTGGGTAAAGAATATCAATTTCCGAAGAGGTAATCCAAAAAGCTCATGAAAATATATCTCTCTAACTAATATTCAAGGCAATGCAAATTAAAACAATGAGATACTATTTTATATCCATTGGAATGGAAAATTTTTTGAATTCTGATATTGCCAAGTGTATATTACTGGTAGGAAGGTAAATTTATTAAAAAAAAAAAAACTTTGGAGAACAATTTTGCAATATTTAATAAAGTTGAAAACAGGCATTTTTTACCATCCACCAATTTCAATTCCAGGTACATAGAAAAGTCCCACACATGTACATGAGAAAGTGTGTACAAGAATGTACGATAAAGTATTATTCATAACAACTAAAAATTGGCAGCAACCTAGCTGCCCCTCGCCAGAGAAATGATTGGATTCATGGATGGATAGATAGATGGGAATATCCTACAATGGAATAAAGATGGCGGATGGAACATGTGCATCTCCTTATGCGTACATTCAGGAGACAACAGTGGCCCTAGAAGTCAGAAATCAAGCAGCAGCCCTGAGGGCTCAACAGCAACAGCACTTCTGGCTCATTTGC